AATTTGAAATGAAGATAAATAATCATAAACAATCTCATAGTATACAATCTTTATTTATAGATAAGTAATGATCCTATAGGACCTTCTTCGACCTATCTGTGTAGGACTTCAAAGGATCACCGTTAAAATTGACACAGATCTCTAAAAAAATTATCACATGGGTGTAGGATTTGACCATTCTATAAATCCGTGCCAAATTTAATGGCGATCCTTTGGAGCCCTACACATATCGGTGGGGCAATGTCCTATAGGATCATTTCTCTATATAAATAGTCTCATAGTATACAATCCCTATTTAAAATTGTGTTATAAAACTACTAAATGGTTAATAATTGTTATGTAAATGAGTAATTATTGTTGCAAGTGGATAGTTATTGTGGTAGATTTGGTTGTGAGAATTTCTATTCAAGAAGAGATGTGTGGTGGGAAAAGTGGGTCGCATATACAAAGTTTATAATGGAACCCCGATTTTTATCACTTAAAAAAAAAACTTTCTTTCAAAAAATTATTTTTCTTTCCTCTCATTTTCATTTATGTCATTATTCTTCCTTTATCTTTTTGGTAGCGAGTCTTAGGCTGGTGTGACATTGTTATAGTAATTGAGAAGCAGATAATTACATTAAAAATAAAATTTGGAAAGCTCATTGCTCTGATGTTGTGGATCCACGCCTCTTTTGTGTTTTGTGTTTGTGCGCGTGAGAGAATGCAAGACCACACGAGAAAAAGAGAAATCTCGTAGAGTGTAATTTTTGCCTCTATTTGTGAGTGTGCAAGAGAGAATACAATAGAGAGAGAATGCAATGGATCATTATGTCTTCTGTTTACTGTAGAGAGAGAGAGAGAGTATAATAAACTATTACCTCTCTATTGCCTGTGTGAGAAAATGCTATTAACTCTTGACGAAAGGGTGGTAGGGGGCAATGGACTCGGATCCGATTTAGGACCCCAGCCAGACTCGACTCGGGTTTGAGTATGGGTTAAAAAAATGGACCCAGTGGATAATGTTATGAGCGGAAGCTTTAAACTTAATGGGTTATTTTTTTGAAAAATAAAACACTAGAAAAAGAATCAATAAACACAAAAATAAAGCAAGAAATAAATAACGTAAAAAAAATACTAAGATTTATGTGGTTCGTCACAGATGCGACTACATTCACAAGCATGGCAAACTGAAATACATTATACCAATGAAAGTTACATTAAAGATTTTAGAATATAGAGTTATATCTCTAAACCTCTACAAAAACTCAAGTCAAGCAAAGCATTTTAAATCACTCTCTCTTCCTTCTCTTTACTTCTGTAAACCATTGCCGACAATACCAGATAGAGACGCGAGCGTAATGAAAAACTGACTTTCTCTCTAACTAAAATGAAATCACCCAAAATCTCAATAGAACTGCTTCTCTACATGAAATAAGCTTCTCAATTTCTAAGAAGGTGTGTCTCAATTTTCAGGAAGAAGCCTTTCAATTTCCAAGAGTCTACAAGAGGCACTGTCAATGTTTCTCTCTATATAAATCCCTCTTCTCTGTAAAAAGAAATTTTGCATCTTATGCCCAGAAGTGCCTGCCCCCTATCTCTTGAAGAAACCGCTATTCCTATAAGGTGACCCAAATACGACATACAAATTTTTCTGGCACTTTCATCCCATAAGGTTAATAATCTACACAAAATAGGAAACTTCCTAAAGATATTATATATATCCCAAACCAAAGAGACATTCAGGAGTCCTAATTCTATTGGATATTTATTTCTTTTAGGAAACTTATCAATATCAATCTCAATCTCAAATAATATGGATCAATCTCAATCCCACATAATATGGGATTTTCTTATGTGGGTGATTTTGGATAGCATCAAATCCAATAGGTACGTATGGGTCCAAATATTATAGGTGAACACTATTTGAGTGTTAGTCCATACAGATCCAACGTGAATAATGTTATTATTTAAATAATATATGTATATATCTAACATAATATTTTAATATTTTAATCTATATCTAGTTATAATATTTAAATAATATATATATATATATATATCTAACATAATATTTAATTTTTTTATTTATTTTTGGGTTGGTTCCAGCAGGGTTAGGGTTCAATCGGATTCGAGTCTGATCAGACTCAGATCCAACCCGACCCGACTCATTGCCACCCGTAGGGTTGCGGTGGTGGTGGTAAGCACCCCATATGTTAATTGCTCCAGACCTAGAACCGTTACCCCGTAAGGTTAAGGTCGTGGTGGTAGCACCCCTCCGCACCTTAGTGACACATCATACTCTCTAATCTGACCGACAATTTAAAAAAAAGAAACTATCAACTCGTTTGTAATGATACATGTGCGTGAGTGCGCGCCAGAGAGCGAGAGAGACGTTATTACCTGTTCTGCATCGTCGGTTCTTCAATGGCGGATTCGTGCTGATGCCATACTCCAAGTATAGAAAGGTTGGGTAGTTTCAATTTTCAAGCGTAGCGAGATAGTGTTAGGTAGAATCCGAATACCATCCCTTCTTACCACTACCGCACTCTACCCTACTCTATGGCGTTTGACGCTTTCAGCCAATGAGAGAGTAAAGTAAAATTAATTTCAAGTGGAATTTAAGCCCTGCTGTATCCTCTCATCTATACTGGCATTTTGAGAGTGAGATTTTGGAAACATTCAGCCCAATAATAGTTCCCCAAACTAAAGAAGAAGGGACATTAATTAAAAAAAAAAATTGAAACTTGAAACCCATTAAAAAATATCATTAAAATAGTTCAAAAGATCTATGTTTTGAAATTTCTATTTCAATTAGATACATCATCAAAAAGATATTTTAAAATTCTTAAATTGTCCTTGTGAAAAGTTAGAATAACTAGGGGCAATATCAGAATTTTATCTAGACTATAATTCGGAGTAAAATTATCAAAGTACTCCTAATTGTTCAGGCTTTCGAACGCCGAATAAAATTAATATGGAAATTTTTCGACAATTTATTTTGATAACGTTCATGACTGATATAAAAATTTAAAAGCCTAGCTTCACTGGCTCATTTCCTCCGGTCCTCCAAATCCAAACATGCACATCTGATGAATTAACAAATCACTGGTTTAATTGAATAACTAAATCAGCTAGATAGACATTTCTCTTCGTTTCAGATCAATGGCTTTTCTCTATTGGAATATCTACTATATAATAATATACATTCCGGTTGACCTAGCCTAAACATCGCCCGGTTCGTTGGGTTCGATTCCTGCTATATGCCTAAGTGTAGGGTTTTAATCCCTATGTTTTAAATTTTTCGGAAGGAGAAAGAAAAGGCAATTTCAAACCTAAGGCCTAAAAAAAGTAATTCCAAGAGTACTTTGAAAATATCCCACAATAATGCATCAATACCTAACACGACATAGGTTAGAGAGCTTGTCTATGGATATTACCCCAAAACCAGAGGAGTATGTGCATGGCATCCACCATCCCATGCAGCGAACATACGGTGAAGATTGATACGGTTCTCTCGATGATAGGTATTCAACGATGTACAATTAATGTCCACCAGTGTATACAAATTTGAACCTCAGCCCTTGCCCTTGGTTAAGCTTAGTAACTCGGTTGAGTTAAAAATAAAAAAAAAAAAGAGAAAAAAGCTATAAACGATATATTATTAAAAACTGGGCATATACATCGAATATTTAGAAAAATATGAAAGTTTCCAAATAATATTGAAAGCCAACAAAATGTTCTTTAGAATTAGAAGTATTTCTAGCCATTATGGTAGTATGTTTTAATTTTTTATTTTTATGTATATATTTTTAGCATTTATTCGGACACCTGGCGAATCGATCGGCGTTCTACACTTGCCAATAACTCGCCTCACCCGTAAGGGGAGAATCGAGTTTCTGAGCCGAATCCGAACAGACAAGTTTGGGCACATGAAATTGGACGCACCTACAGTATTACATTTACCAACATTCTACTTGCCCCGACAAGGGGCGCTTGTCCTATGTTGAAAAAGAGCAAGTGGTATTTGCTAATACAGTAAACATCCAATGAGTAGTGGTTGTACCCCCTTGCCCTACTTTTACCTTTCAACGCATTCGAGAGAGAGAGAGAGAGAGAGGTTCATTATACAGAGTAGATTAGTTAATCTTGCAACCATTTCCTTCTTAAACTATATCTCTCAAAATCTCAACTACTCTTTTAGAGAAATCTAGAGAATGAGAATATAAAAATTAGTCCCTCGGTACTATTCCACTCTATGCGTGTCTATAATCGACCGTGGTCTTATATTCATGGTGCATTTTATATTAAGTGTCACTCTCAAACAATCAAAGCACTCGGTGCCTTGAAAACGTTAATTTGTAATTATAAAATTTAAATTTCTAAAAATAGTAAAGATCAATCAGCTCTATAAAATATAAATACTCAAAAATCTTGAAAACAGACGATCTAGATATTGTATAACAAAACACACTATTGTTCAAGCTTGAAATCTTTTTTCATATCCATGCAGATCGACTGGAGGGTTTTCTAGCACTGAAACAATCTCTTCCGATGGGTTTTTCAGATGCGCCTCGGTTTTATAATGCGAAATTAACAGTTTTATTTATATTAATCAACATTTATCCATTTGTGTCAGATTTTTCCAAAAGAAAAGCTTAAACTTTTGCCTACCAATAAGAAGGGATGATCATAAAAATTATCCTTAATGTGTCATGGATTAGCACTAAGGCCCGTGTAATAAATGGGCGGCTGGGGTTGTATAGCCTGTGTGAAAGGGGGTGGAGTGACTCGACATCCAACAACAAACAAGAAAAGGATAAAAAAGGGTAGGAGGGGTTTCTTGGATAAACCCTCATAATAACGTACAACACTTGGCACTTCAATTTGGGCTACAGCCAAAGCGCAATACTAGTGCATGTTGTGTGAGGCGCACAAGGTCTAGCCCAACCACTCCTTATGCAATATACGCGCATTTGGACCACCCTCCCCCCTTCCAATGCCTATAAATACCCCACCTCCCCCTCCCTCTCACCACAACACTCCTTTCTTCTCTCCTTCAATATGGCTAAGCATAGCTGCCTTAGTGCTGCCTTCCTAGTGTTGCTAGGTCTAGGCTTGTGTAGTGCCTCTAGGGTCCTCCTCGGAGGGTATGGGTACGAGGGTGGCGCAGGTTATGGCGTTGGTGGTGGCTCTGGGTCTGGGATGGGGAGCGTAGAAGGGGAACATGGAGTAGGGTACGGTAGTGGAGGGGGGGGGGCCTCTGGTGCTGGCTATGGGGCTGGTGGTGATCATGGGGCAGGGTATGGTAGTGGGGGAGGCGGGGGCTCTGGTGCCGGCTATGGTGCTGGCGGTGATCATGGGGTAGGGTATGGTAGTGGTGGTGGCAGCGGTGGAGGTGCAGGATATGGTGCTGGAGGGGAGCACGGTGGTGGCTATGGTAGCGGTGGCGGAGGAGGTAGTGGCTCTGGATATGGAGCTGGTGGAGAACATGGTGGAGGATATGGAAGTGGTGGTGGTAGCGGTGGAGGTGCTGGATATGGTGCTGGAGGAGAGCATGGAGGTGGCTATGGTAGCGGTGGAGGAGGCGGTAGTGGCTCCGGATATGGAGCTGGCGGAGAGCACGGTGGAGGATATGGCAGCGGGGGAGGCAGTGGTGGTGGTGGCGGCTATGGAGCGGGAGGGGAGCATGGTGGTGGCTATGGTAGTGGTGGTGGCGGTGGTGGTGGCAGCGGCTCTGGATATGGAGCTGGAGGTGCTGCTGGTGGTGGCTATGGGGGTGGCTCAGCTGCGGGCTATGGTAGCGGTGGCGGTGCTGGTAGTGGTGGTGGCTACGGTGCTGGCGGTGGTGGCCACGGGGGTTACTCTCCTTGAACGAGGAGAGAAGAGAGTGTTTAGTGCTGAGGGGAATGGTGTGAAAAATAGTAAGCTAAATGTGATGAAGCTTGGAACAGAAATTATAAGATTAGGTTTAATACTTCCCAATTATTGAATAAAGTTTGTGTTTGTAGCCCCAACGCACAACCTTATATGTATTGTTTGTCATTACGTGAATCAAAGTGTTGAGTTGTTATCTGCCTAACTCATCTCTCTCTCTCTCTCTAAAATATTGAAGGCATTTGCTCTGTCTCTCTCTCCTGCGAGTATTTCGGGGGTACTACGCATTCTCGTCATCTTTCTACAGTCGCAGTCAGCATACCAGTATATCGCTGCGCTTCTCCATCATGCCTTTGGCGTTTCTCGCTTTCAGTTTTGAAGAACACAGGAATAATTGTGAGCTCGTATGAGACATGCGATTGGCTATGGTTCGATCACATTTTTTTTTTGGAGGGAATTATGTACGGACATAACAGAAAAAAAGAAAAGAAAAAAGAGCATAATTTACTCAAAACCTATAATAAAAGTCTTTTTTTTTTTTTTTAATTTTCCCACATTGCCCCTCCCGTTTTAATCTTTTTTCTTTTTCTTTTTTTTGTATTTTTTTTTTTACTGTCTTGGTTGTGTCCTATGTCTTATGACTGTTGACGACCGGTGTGAGGTCTCTATCCTCAAACCACTCACATTGTGATGTTACACCACATTATAAGCGGTTCAAGTTCTCTATCCTCAGACCGCTCAAATTGTCATGTTATACCACATTATAAACGGTCCGAGGTCTCTATCCCCTGACCACCTATAATGTGATCGAATACTATAGTGTGGGCGGTTTGAAGATGGGGACCTTGGACCACTAATTGGATTGAGCTTAAGCGAGTGGTCTCCATCCCCAGACTTCCTATAATGTGATGTAACACCACAATCTAGGGAGTCCGAGGATGGGGACCTCAGACCAGTCGCCAACTGTGTTAAAATATAAGAGACATCACAAACAGTCGAAAAAAACTACAAAAAAATAAAATAAAATCGGTCTAGGGATGGTACCATCTGATCGAGGGTCATTGTGGGAAAAATTTAAAAATATTACAGTAAACATCCTTTTTAGTAAATTTGACTCTTTTGATAGTTTACAAACCTTTTTAGTGTCTATATGTCATGGGTGCAGTTTGTATAGAGCCAAGGCTCTAAACAATCAAATTAGAGTCAACTTTCAAATATTGTCAAAAAATGTTGTTTCAATACTGAAAATCTTTGACTAGCCTTAAAATATATTTTCATCTTTAATTATAAATTTTAAAACTTAAAAAATAGTATAGATCGAGTAGATCTATGGAAACTTAAATGACTTAAAAATTGATGGTCTAAAAATACATTACAAGATGCACTATTTACAAAATTTGAAATCCATTTTTTTCTCAAGTCCATACATCTTGATGACGAGAAGATCAATTTGATGATATTTGGACATCAAAACAACCTCTTCCAATGAAATTTTTTAGGGAGGCTCTAATTTGATTTCTCATATGTAATTCCCTCTTTTATTATTATCTTTTTTGAGTTTGTAAGCTTGTTGGTTACGCATTATGATTTGGGAAAATCTGAACCTTCTATTAAGAAGTTTAGAGGATACTGAATTTTTGTTACCGATTTTAAAAAAGAGAAAGCCAACAAGAAGTTCTCAAAAGTAACCTTGCCCTTCTGGAAAATAATCCAAAGATTGTCTTCTATCGATTCACCAAACACGGGCAATCGTAGTTGCTTTTTGGACCATCTTGCTTTGTGACAAGGTCCCCATTTGGAATAGAAGTCCACTCATATTTATGTTTCTTTCCGGACATTCTCTTCCCTTTATTATTGTGGATGCTGTTCTCATTGTACCATCTCCATTGATTTCTTAAGCGAACATTCCTTAGAAAGTACATCAGACATGACAACGTATCTTCTTTGAGATTGCAAACATCCCAAGTCCTACGCACAAGACTCGGGATTTGTGTTATCTTATCACCGTCTACATTATGATCCTCTCTCTTTCTCTCTCCATTGATGCAACCAATGTTTCAAATATTGGTCATTCGGATCAGAAATGGCCATCCAGAATGGGAATTGGGTCTGGACTGACTCATTACTTCTCCCTCTCCCCATTGATGCAAACAGTGTTTGAGAAACTAGTGGTTCCGATCGAAAATGGCTGATTCAGAATGATAATTTGTCTAGACCCGGGAATTATCAGGTTCCTGTCAATTACTTAGTTCCATAGGGAACATGGCGAGTCTGTCGGGAATTATCAGGATCTATTATATTTTTATTTTTTTTCCTTTTTGTTTTTCCAATTTTTAAATTTTTTATGGACCAATTCTCACCCATGAGAATAGGTTCGATGCAACAATTTCGATAAGTGATTTGCATATCTAAATCAGTTTTGCGGATGCCGATTCATCCAATTTTTTAAAGGACAATCTTTCTATGCTTCTCCTACAACATAGAAGTTCTATCCTCCTCCTTATCCAACCTTTCATTCTAAGTGGACGGCTAAGATTGCCCCAATCACAATGTCATGTTTCTACACTATTTTATTTTTACAAACTATTTTGACACCAAATTTTGTATGTTCATTCCTCTATTACACTCGCACTAGCGAAAAATATGTAAAAAATATTTTTAACAATATAAAATGACCAAAATACCCCTAAAAGATTCAAGGGGTATTTGGTCATTATGTTTTATCGAGAAATTATTTTTAATATTTTTTATAGGTGTGCCTCAATGAGAAGATGGCAAGTACCAAATTTCATATTCATACAATTTGTATACAAAAAATTAAAAATAATATACTTTGAGACATCAGATCTAAGATCAAATGGTGAGTAGCTCTCTTGATCAAAATTGGATGGCTAGATGGTAGGAGGAGGATAGAACTTCTACGTTGTAGGGGAAGCATAGAAACCTTTCCCTTTTTTAAATACTAGATGCTTTACATTATTACCGTCTACTACAATAGCTCTTTCTCATCAAGTTCTATTGTTTTTGTTTAATTTCTATAAACGCGGCAGATCAGCTCAAATGCAGAACAAGATACACCTCAAACTTTGACTCAATTATAAGCAATGTAAAAATAATCTAACCGGAACGGTTAACTGGATATAGGCCATTAAGGGGTTCAACCGGCGGAATCGATAAATTGACCGGTTCAACCGTTCTAACCAAGCAAGTCTTAAGCGGCAAAAATAGTATTAAAAAAATAAATTAATACAAAAATTTAATAAAATATAAAAAATATATTTAAATAATGATTAAATAAAACGCATCCAAATAAAGTTGACAATTAATAAAAAAAAAAAAATTAAAGAATTGGTTTGTGAGCAGGGGTATTTTTGAAAATTTTTAAAATTGGGAAAATGTAAAAATAAGTATTAATGGCCAACCAATTTCCAATCTTTGCCATAATGATAAAAGTATTAAAAAATACAAGACAAATAAAATCCCTTATTTTTTGGTATTTTGTATATATTTTTTAAAATTACCCTACTGGTCACTAAAATCGGTTACCGGTTAGACCGCCCGATTTTTTACCTTCAATGCTTCTAAGTATTTCCCTTTCCAATTTTTTCTTTTATTAATATTTGCAAGTAAATCTCGTATTAACTTAAACAAGGTATGTGTCTTTTATTTATTAGAGCGAGTCTTCTTCAAATCAGTGGTGGTACTTTGTTAGATTTTATTTTCTTAAAAAAGTATTCAGATTTTACAAATTTTTAGGAAAATGCTTGAAATTTTTTTTTGGGCAACAAAATGCTTGAAAAGTTTTTCAAGACTATGGTTAGGTCACATAAACAAAGACGGCGTTCTAGTTTTCCCCTTAGATTAAACCCTCACCTCGAAACTAATAAAAAATTGTAATTCTCGCGTCGGGAAACCTTCAAATTGATCATCTCAAACTTGACCATTATAGTTGTAAACAAAGAGAGGATTTTAACCCCTAAAAATATTGACACCTATGTGTGTAGGGCCCCGAAGGATCACCATTAAATTTGGTACAAATCTCTAGAAAAGTCAAGTCCCACACCCATGTGATAACTTTTTTAGAGATCTATGCCAAATTTGATGGTGATCAGTATTCGAAAAACCGGCCGGTCGGAACCAGAACCGGCCGGTTAGCTTGCTACCAATAGGGTGGCGATTCCGATTAGGTCCGGTTTTAGTGTATTAGTAAAAAAACACAGGGTCCTGAAAAAAATTGGCTAAAAAACCGGCCGGTTTGGCCTTGAACATGCGAAATTTTGACAAAACTGGTCGATTCTGTGAAAACCGGTCCGATCTGGCGTTATATCGGGCGATATAACGAAATAACGATGCACAACAAGTAACGGCCGTTATTTGTAACAGTGCCCGTTATTTGAGCATAACCGTGATTCGTCATTTTTTACAGCTTTTTTATGCTTTTTTCTGCCTTTTTTTTGTTTTGTTTTTGCTCAATAATTATACTATACCTTCAAATCTTCTATAAATCTATTAATATTGAATCAAAAACTCCAAGATTAGATCGATTTTTTGTGCATTTTTTGGTGTTCTTGAGTTTTTTATAAAAAATCCGCCATTCCTTTGATTTTTGGCCTGGCTTTTCAGTTTTTTTTGATAAAAAGTTGGGGATTTTAATAATCACATAGATACATATACTTCAAGCCTCCTGACTTCATTGAAATGGAGAGATTTGAAGCTCGCTTTTAAGATTGAAACAGACAAAGTAAGCCCAAACCCAAAATTTTAAAAAAAATTTCTTAATTTTGCTGCTTTTTAGGATTTTTCAGATAATATTTGACTAGTATTATTTATTGCAATAAATAAAAGAACGATTTTTTAACAACAAAAATAAAATTTGGAGCTCGATTTTAGGAATTTAGGCTTTTTTTGTTTTTAATGTTATATAAGATATATATTTATAAAAATATGTTTTTTGTGATGAATATGAGAATATATATACACAATATTTGTGTGAGATTATTGATTGCATAAAATAAATGAATGAATTTTAGAACAAAAAAAAAATTTGGAAGTCAATTTTGGGGATTTTGAGGATTTTCGAGATTTTAGGGTTTATTGAATGAAAAATAAAATTGATATTTTTTTTGTGAGGATTGTTTTTAATGTTATATAATATATATATTTATAAAAATATTTTTTTTTGATGAATATGAGAATATATATACA